ATGGTGATTACTTTATGGTGATCGAAATGACGTTTATTACCTGACCTAATCCTGCCAAATTGACCTAAGGCCGCTCTATACTTTAGTATTATTGTTAACCCTTTGGGGCACAGGATTTCAGAGAATAAAATAAATCCATGTTGCACAGAAATTTTATCGCGTTTTAAATTGAACAAAATTGGTATATTTGTATTGAGAAAGGAGTCACGTAATATAAAACATAATAATAATAATTCAATTCAATTTGTAGCTATAGAGTAGAACTCAAACAGTCCCATCAAAGAGATGGGACAATTTTAATCTCAAAGACAACGCTAAACTCGCTGCTATTTTACGGGAATTGCTCGAATAAATTCATATTACCGAGTTTTACGAGAAAAACTTTACAAAACCGAAACGAATTCGATTTTTTCTCTGTTTCACAATTACGATAGCGAATCGCTATCATTGCTCGTTTATGCTGATTGAACAGAAATTTCTCGGTTCAAGGTCAGCCGAAGATCATGCTACAGCACGTCGTTAGCATTCATGTGAAGTAAAAAATATGCAATGCCGTTTAAACAACTTTAGGCGAGCCCGATTTTTTATTGAAAAAAATAACAATTTATTAAAATTTAATGTTTCGTCGTTATAGCGAACAAGGAACCGATAAACATTTGTTGGAAAGATTTATTTTTTCAGGTTAAGAGAGAAGTGCACGAAAAAATGTGGGCGAAAGTTAAGGGTTAACACCCTGTATAATTAGATATTTGATAATTATTATTATCGAGCAATAATATCGCGATTAATATCGTACGATTTTAATGCATTCGAATATATTCCAACGATTAAATACCTTCTCGCGGTATTGTCTTCTCGAGGAATCAAGAGATTGAATGAGATTCGTCGCATGTCCAAGGAAAAGTGCATAACAGGTAGCACCGCTGATCATACTGAGCATAGTGAGCCACATGTCGGTCAAGGACTGCGGTGGAAACCTTCCGTATCCTATGCAGAGCATGTGCGACATAGCTTTGAAAAGGGCCCATGAGTATTGTTCCAGCCAGAATGAGTCCTGGAAAAATGGAAGTGGAACATTATGTCGGCGGAAACGGTCGCTGTCCAAGCTATACTTGGGCGCGATGTTAAAACCTCTCTGATACCGTCGCTTCGACGTATTCGATATTAAAAATAATATTTCGAAACGTAATAAAGACCAATCGTTTCCATGGCAAATTATTTCGATAGCTCGCCGTCTCGATTTCTATATTTATGATCGCGTGTTGAGCAAAACGTAGAAATCTTGCACCGCGATTTTTAAAAATTTTGTTTTTAAATTGTTGAAACTATGAGGAGTCTTCCTGGGAAAATAATTTTCAAAATTTCTCGATTGCAACACGCGTTATAAAATAAAAATAGCAAGAGGTGTCTGATCGAATTCAGTCTTAAGATTTTTATAAAGCAACGCATGTCCCTGGCAAGTTTAGCTTTTTAAGAATTTTCTTAATAGATCGAAACAATTTTTGGATTGATCAAATTTCAAATTCAATCATCGATCTAATTTTTTTTCGATTTATCTATGAAATCGCCGTTGTGAGTCCGACTTCTTATTATAAAGGGATTAGGAACGTCAGTATACAGAGTGTTCTGTAATTATGGTAACACCTAGAAAGAGGTGATTTCTGAGGTCATTTGAAGTAACTTTTTCCTTTACAAAAATTTTCTCCGAGGCTTCGTTTACGAGTTATTAACGAAAAACAGTGATCAATGAGAGATCTCGTACGGCCGACGCCCCGCCCTCGCGGCCACTGCCGCTGCGTCAGATGGTCGGCGCGTCGCGTCACTGGCCGAAAGGGCGGAGCGCTGGCCGCGCTCGCACTCCGATTGGTCAGTGTTTTTCGTTAATAACTCGTAAACGAAGCCTCGCAGAACATTTTCGCTAAGGAAAAAGTTGCTTCAAACGACCTCAGGAATCAGCCTTTTCAAGGTGTTACCATAATTATGGAACACATTCTGTAATTTACACAGTTAGAAGACAAGAATCAGTGCGAAAAAGCAGATTTTAGATTTTAGAAACACAATCAGACCTTTTAATTGCATAACTGGAGAAATCTATTATTTCGTAGTCTGTTATATATTTGTTCACCGGCATCGAGTAAGTAGTTCTATTTAGGTAGTATTTATTATACGAAAGGTAAAATATCGCGAGCGCTAAATAAACCGACGACGCTTCCTACGCGCGAAGTCAGTGAACTTCCATGTCCAAGTATAGCCTGTGCAAATATTAGTTGGCTTCGCGTGTAATCGTTTTATTATCCAGCCAGTTTGCACCTCTCGCGCGTCGATCGAACAGTTCTTCTCGTACGAACGAAGCAAGTACAGTAAATTCTCCCTAATTTTCCTTCAGCTGTAAACAAAAATTTCGACAATTTTCGGAAAAGAAAATAAGATTGTTCACAATTGTTTACAATTATAACGAAACGAGGTGCAAAGCTCGAATAATCGCGTCTCCTCTTTCCAAATCTCTCATTTTCGTTGACAAGCTGAATAAAAATTAGGGACTTTCTTCACTCGTTTCGACTTGTTTACCGATTCTATTGCACTCGTTCACGAGTCACACCTTAAACTAGAGACTCACAGGTTCGTCACGATCGTCGGGCAGCAGCGTTGATACTTACTTGCAACTCGTTAATGGCCACCCACGAGTTACTAGGAAACCCTTGGAGCATAGGAACCAGGAATTGCAGGCAGCCACTCCAGTGGCCGATTAGGAGCATCATGCAAATCAGGTTAAAAATCCGCATGAACACCGATGCCATATTCAGGAACTGCCAACAACAACGACAAAGGTTTACTCTCGTGCCGTCGCGTGGCGGGCGTTGTTCACACTCCGGTGAAAAAAACTTCTCTCGTTAATCCAAAGCTCCGGTTGCGTAGTGTACAGCAAATAAAGCGAGTGTTGTACAAAAACGCGTCCAAATATATATATATGTATATATTAATTCACTGAATACATTGTCAAAACTATCTTAGTAATTGTTATCGAAAATCTGAGTCAAAGACCAAGTAAACTACCTGATGCTCCGCGGTCCAGACCGAACTCTGTCGTCCGCTGTTTCTCTCGCAAACAAAAGGGAGGAAAAAAAATAGAAAAAATGATCATCGTTCGGCAACGATCTCTCGAAATACAAAGAAATACACGTTCGAAGAACGAAGAACGGCGCGCTTCGATCGATCCGGACGACGGTTGCTGTCTGAACGGGAGCAAATTCAGTGTATCATCTCTCCTAAGTAGTCTTCGCTGTTCATACTGTTCCGGGTTTCGGTTCTCAGTCCAAAAAAGCATGCTACATTAGAAAATACGCATCACGTGGCACACAAAAAGAACAAGTCAATATAACCTAAAAAACGTTTATAATAATAATGATTACTCTACGAATGCTCTAACAGAAGAAACAAAAATTATGTGTATTACGAGATAATGCACACGTGTACGTGTGCATCCGCATAGAGACGACGGCGGATCAAACTTGTACATCTATACATACACATATACACGCATGTACGCGTACACGTGCGTATCAATCATTTGCACTGCTGGCCAAGATTCGCAGACCCGCTTATAGGCCGGACCTGTTCAGAATCTGTCCGGGCGTTTAAACAAACTGCGGGGACGCCGTATCCGGCAATCCGATTAACTGCAACGTCAACTGCAAACTGTTCGGCTGAACAGTGCGCCATAAGCACGATATGGGAATCTAAGTCCGTTTCTAGGTAACAGAAGCTGGAGAACGCAGGAGTCACGCCGACGAGGACGAGCCGCTTAAAATCGCGAGCTATACGATCTCTGTTCTTCGTAGAGACGACGGTTCTGCGACACGATTTACTGCTCGTAATCTTCTTCGTTGCACATTTTATCCTAGTGCCGTGTCTAACAGGCGCCATTTTATGTCGGAGCGTGATTCGTTCAGTGTTAAAACGTGCTTCGGAACGCGGGGATCTATTTGTTACGGAGTCAAGTATAGTCCTCGCGCGACAAGAAGGCAGCTTCGCGGTTGCGTTTCCCCTTCCACTAGCCGCGCCAGTGGAGCGGCTAGGAAGTGGGGGGAACGCAAAGATGCGGTCTTGTCGCGCGAGGACTATACTTGTCGCCGAGACAAATAGATGCTCGCGTTTCGAAGCATGTTTTAATATTGAATCAATCAAAAGCGACTGATTTATTTTATGAAAATATCGATACCGAAGTTCTTTGAATTTTTTCAACCTTTTTGAAACTTTTCTTTCAACTTTTCGTCAACTGAGAAATTCGTTCTATTATTATCTATGAGAGAATCTATGTTAATTTTAGCGTTAACGTTAATTTATTCGATCCGTTTTCAGACACGAAACGTTCCAAACGTGTTTCGAACAAAAACGATGCAGTGTTTTTATATCATTGGTTATATACACATACACCGTTTTACATACAATTTGTTTACACTTATCTCGGACGAATTTGTTGATCGGAGACAAAGAAGAAGGTAACAGAAAAAGAGAACATCGTTTCACGATCCACAAAACTTTGAAGAAAAAAGAAATGCGTGTGGAATATATCTGACTTTGCTTGCACTAGCACTTTGGTTCGCTAACAATTGATTAATTCTTTTAAACTATTTCAGTGGATCCTTCTGTAACAAATTATTGGTCACACGTCGGTTTATTAACAAGATTTTGACCGAACAAAAATTACGATGAAGAATGTCATTCTTTCCGTCGAAATCGAAGCAAAATTGAATCCTTCCGTTATTAATGCTTCGAAGAAGAAAACAGAAACATACAAAATTGTTTCATTCTATCGGAGAAATGACTATAAATAAAATTAATAACTAATTAATAAATCAATTTTACCGCATCGAAATGTTCCGTGTCTGAACGCTTACTATAAATTGACGTCTATGCGACGCCTATGTTCGAGATTAATTCCACAATTACGTCCACCGATTTCAAACAAAGATTCCGCAAAAAGGAACAACGAATCGTCTGATTGAATCGGACTGTCTAATACTTACGATTACATCGAGATTGTTTCGTTGATCACCGTTTTTTTCGCGATTTACATGTTGAAACAGAATCGCCGTATCCGCGATTGTTTTCCCGCAGCAATTGAACTTCTTTCCAATTATCTGCAGCGTTCGTTTGCAATGATTTTTTGCCTCTCCGAACGGCCGAAGAAGCACGTCCCATAATTACGAACAGTATTTCGTGCGCGCGCGCGCGCGGCGAGACGTTTTTTACCGGCGCGCGCGCGCTCTCTCTCTTCGTTAACAATTCAGATCGTTGGAAGCCCGGGGAAAGTAACAACAACACTTTACCGTTCAAGAAGCGGGCAATTCATTTTTAACACGTTCCGTGCCACATGTACCATCCATGGTACACGCTTGCATGTTTACTTAGTGATCTGAACAAATTGTTTACAAGAAATTTAGAACCGAAGAATCAATTTCCACCGCAAGAATGGGCGTTGATAAGTTTTTGTTACGTTGTTATGTGTACGAGAATTAATAATTGCACGTAATACATCAAGTTTTAGTAAAATATCAAAGTGTGAAGATTCGAGTAAAAAAAGCTCGGCACGGAACGTGTTAATAGAGCGGCGTGCCAGCTTTTTGCCGGGACGCCCCAGTGTTCCAAAAATCGAATTTCGAGCTTCGAGGTCGATTCGATGGGAGAAATTGCTGCGACGGTACTTTCCACGGCGGAATTCGACAGAGGCCCTTTCGACGGGCCCGGGGAAACGAATTTGAAAGTACGAGCGACGCAAGATTCTCTCGGTCGGCGGATTCACGAAGCGGACCAGTAATTTTTGCTTCGCGCGAGCGTTGTGGCTTTGAATGGCGAGCCAGTCGCTGACGGAACTAATTGAACGTGCCGACAGCAGATTTATTGAGACCGATCAACGGGCTGATTAACGATTCGTTAAACAAGAATGGAATAAAACCGGCGCGATCTCGTTCCTCCTCCTTTTTTTTTTTATCTATGTCCCCTCCGCTCGCCCCGACACACACGCGCACACACTCACATACGCACACAGAGACAAACACAGGCACACAAATGACTTTAAAATTTCGACGCAGCACGTTCATAGAATTATTCATGCAATTCGACCGCGCGCTGGATTTCTGCCGAGGGCGATTTGAAATTCAGAAACGCGGATCAAGTCGATTCCGCCACGTTTTTCTTTCCGCGCGGCGTGCTCCAGAACACTCCGGGAATCGTTCGCGAGCGGCGCGCTTACGTTTCTCGTTTTTTTATCCTCGTCGCAGAATATTTCCTTCCCGTCCGNATGTTTACTTAGTGATCTGAACAAATTGTTTACAAGAAATTTAGAACCGAAGAATCAATTTCCACCGCAAGAATGGGCGTTGATAAGTTTTTGTTACGTTGTTATGTGTACGAGAATTAATAATTGCACGTAATACATCAAGTTTTAGTAAAATATCAAAGTGTGAAGATTCGAGTAAAAAAAGCTCGGCACGGAACGTGTTAATAGAGCGGCGTGCCAGCTTTTTGCCGGGACGCCCCAGTGTTCCAAAAATCGAATTTCGAGCTTCGAGGTCGATTCGATGGGAGAAATTGCTGCGACGGTACTTTCCACGGCGGAATTCGACAGAGGCCCTTTCGACGGGCCCGGGGAAACGAATTTGAAAGTACGAGCGACGCAAGATTCTCTCGGTCGGCGGATTCACGAAGCGGACCAGTAATTTTTGCTTCGCGCGAGCGTTGTGGCTTTGAATGGCGAGCCAGTCGCTGACGGAACTAATTGAACGTGCCGACAGCAGATTTATTGAGACCGATCAACGGGCTGATTAACGATTCGTTAAACAAGAATGGAATAAAACCGGCGCGATCTCGTTCCTCCTCCTTTTTTTTTTTATCTATGTCCCCTCCGCTCGCCCCGACACACACGCGCACACACTCACATACGCACACAGAGACAAACACAGGCACACAAATGACTTTAAAATTTCGACGCAGCACGTTCATAGAATTATTCATGCAATTCGACCGCGCGCTGGATTTCTGCCGAGGGCGATTTGAAATTCAGAAACGCGGATCAAGTCGATTCCGCCACGTTTTTCTTTCCGCGCGGCGTGCTCCAGAACACTCCGGGAATCGTTCGCGAGCGGCGCGCTTACGTTTCTCGTTTTTTTATCCTCGTCGCAGAATATTTCCTTCCCGTCCGTCGCGTTCGAATTCTTGTAAGGAAAACGCGAATGTAATAAGCTTCGGATCAGCGCGACGATTTCACCCCGGTGAAACGATGCTCGTCTCGTCGCCCTTTTTCTTTTTTCTTTTTTTTTCTGTTTTTTCGTTCGATGCCGGGGTCTTCGTTTTTTTAGCGTATTTAGGTCGGATATACAATTGAGAAACGAGTCGCTGCGAGGCCGTTGTTGCTGGCGCGGCATTAAAAAAAGAAGAACAGAGAAATGGATTCGAGTTGGCAATTCTACGATCATCTTTTTATTAATATAAATAATAATAAGTAATATAAATTGCGAACTTTTCCGTTTACTTGAATTTCGACGAAGAAAGCGTTCTTTTTCTATTTTCTGTATCACTTCGAAATTATTATTTTGTATTTTGCGTCGTAATATTCTTGTCTTTTATTTAAATAATTTTACTCCGGGTTGCGCCCGTGTACAATTGCATAGCCAGGCCACTGCAGGTCACTTTCATTTTATATTATTGATAGGACATTTTTCAGCTTTCTTAAATAATCTCGATTGTTAATGTCCTGGTGAGAAAAATAGTGGATTACTTAACAACGCGTCAGGTTAATTTAATTACA